GTTCTTTGAGGAAATTTCAGCTGCCTCCTGCGCCGCCTCGGCCGACACCGGCTCGTAACTTTTTCAGGATTATTCCGCGGTGTACGATTCCCGACGTAACGAATCGACCGAACATGCTCGAGCGTTTATATCGGGCGTGACGTTTTTATTTCTTCCTTTATTTCAACTGATCTTCGCTTATCTCGCGGAGACGCTCGGTGAATCGTTGTATCGGAGATGTGGAGATGCGCGGATGCTTTATCGACGGAGAGCAACTTTGAGGAAGTTTTAACTCTTTACGGTCGAATGATATAATGGCGAGAGATTTTATGCTTGATATCGAGAGCTTGAAGAAAATAATGTTATTATTCAGATAACGAGGGATTAGGTTTCAGGATCAGGATATCCCACAGATACGCGATTTTCTTCTTTTCTAGTACTTAACCCTTTGCACTCGAAAGTTTTTCACTTGAAGTATTCTATATTTTCTAATTAAATGTAGACAACATTCTTGAAAATGAATTTAACAGGAAGTCATACATAAATTAGGTACCAAAGCTATTTTCTTTTAATATTTCACGCATTGATGCAGTATACAAAGGTTAATGGTAAATACCAAAGTTTATAATTTTGCTGTATCAAATCATCTGGCGACTGGGAGTCGCCTCCCGAGTGCGAAGGGTTAAGAGCTCGATGGATTCTCAGCCTTTTTATTGGAAGAGTTTCTAGAAATTCGAAAAATGCTCGTAAACGATTAATATTAGATGTACGAACATTTATTGCACGGTTTATTCTACTGTTCCTTGGAAAATCGATGTTCGTTCATTTATATCTTCGAAATTACAGGTTTAAAACTAAACGGAAATTTTGTAATTGCAAAATCGATGCGAAAATCACCACATGATATTTATAAGATCCAGTATACGTCAAACCGACGCGTTTCGCAAAGCTAGTGTCAATGACGCGTTGTTTTTTGATTTTCAAATTCTTCTAATTTCCCGACTTGCATCGACGCGCGATTAAGTTTCTCGTTGATTTCACTTGTACGTTGACGCATCGAAATTACCGACGGAACAAGCGAACTTCTGTTTACTCGCCGCCTTCGCGAATAACACGGGGATATTGTTTTGCACGAAGACCCGTCGTCTAACGATAAGGGTGGATTTCCGTGATCGTGAGTTATGATAAACGACTGATTAAGATTAGATACCGAGATTAAAATTATCTACCGGTGCTTCGGAGAGTTTTACGGTGCGCGCTTCGGCAGAGCTTAACCGTAGTCTAAACTATGAGAATGCTGCGGGTATAGATTATCGCACGTGATAACTCCTCAACCATAATTTCAATAGATGTCGGCTGCGAGCCAGCGTTGGCGTAATGCATGGTTTATCAATTAAGGTTCGGTATTATAGAGTCGAACAAAACCACGTGTTGAATCGCTGTCAAGCAGCCATTCAGTTCTAAGGATATGTTTTGCCGCGATGTATATTTTGCCGATTACACGCCGCATTGTGCCTGTTCAACAGTATCAACGATTCTTCTGTTACACTCCTCCTGATGTTTCTCCGCGATTTCTTTTCATACTGTACCTTCTATCTTGAAATTAAGGAAAACTAATGACAGTAACCCAGCCTTAACACTAAATCATAGAAAACAATCGACTAGTATCGAAATAGGTACAAACAGTCCCATAAACTCCCAAGAATACAGTAAATACATTTCACCTAGAAAAATTGTATAAAAACATTCCTATTTTCCGCTGAGAAACCGTTCAATAAAATCCCGAGTTTCCGTCGTTCGCGAAATAAAGAAAAAGAATTCCAGTAACTATTCCAAATTTATTTCTACGAAAATAAGCGACGAAGAGTGTCGCGCGAAGTCGACCCTCCGAAATTCTCGGGAAAGATTTTCTCCCGTCGAATATTTCGTAAAATGAAACTCCTCCGAATTCCCTCTCGAAGAATAAGATACGAAATGTGCGAACTAAAAAGCTGAAAACATCGAGACTACCGCGACTACGATAACTCTGTCTCGTGCCGTTACAGGTGCTCGGATAGTCGCGTAAACCGGTGCACCGATAAGCGGCGGAGGATCCGCAGAAAATCGAAACCGCGGGGAAAATAACGGTAGAAGCGAGCGCGCGCGCCGCTGAAATTTTGAGCGCGCGGTATCTCGTTTCCGCGAGGATGAAATCGTCGCTATCCTCTCCCCGCCGGTTCCCGGACACGAGCGCGTAGCTATGCCACTTTTGATACGGTTCCGCCTGGGCAAGGACCTCTCGACCCTGCCTCGGGTCGAAGGCAGAGAGCTCGAGGGTCGTCGTGAGCGACCAGCTGGCAGAGACCTTTCGCTTCACGTTCTTTCGAGGTGTGCACGTGCACGTTCAACGTGCCGGCCGCGAATGCGGGGCTTGACGCGTCGGCGTGATATCGCATAAACGCGCGTTCCAGCGGCGCGCCGGGTTTCTATCGAAATCGGAAGAAGAAGCGCTCGCCCTTCCGCATACTTACCCGGACACGCCGATATATTTCGCGCGGCTAATGGATTGAAATACCTTAAACTGTTGTCCCTTCGTATCGCGCCGCCGCCGGGTAATTACTGGACGAACGTGAAATAAGGATTTCCCCGCGCGTCCAACCGTATCAGCCGACCGCGGCCGCGTCTAATGGCTTGTTGTTGCGGCTCGTTTCCGCCCCGACGCATTGTTGCTTGTCACGATTATGACGCGGTTGTTTATTAATTAACCTCCGCGCGGCGCCGGGAACCCGACGCGCCGCTGCTCGCCGGAAACTTTATAACGGTTCTCGCGCTGTTCGCGCCGGACGACGTCGCGAAATTCGAAGCCGGCTTGATATCGCGAATTTCTGTTAACAATTAGTAGTGGAGAACTGGGGTACCTCACCGGTTGGTAGAAGTTCGTGGGCGGGAATTCAATTTTGTGGTGTCGAGCTGAGAAAAGAGTAATGCACAGGCGAGATAACGGGAAAGTGATGATTTAGTGTCTTGGCTCTCGGCAGGATTTACGAGAGGGTTACATCTGTAATCGTTACAGATTCAAGCGACGCGAACTATACGCGACTTTGAAGCTTCCTCGACGAACGAGTCGCCAGCTGATTCGCAGAGGACTCGTTCGAACTACGAGTTCTATTTCCGCAAACATGCGAGCATATTTCAGAAGCGACGAGTTGCGCAGCTTTGTATCCAGTTCGCTCCGCTCCCGTTCCGTTCTGTTTACCTTTAAATATTTACAAGAGATAAAAGAACCGATCCGGTCGCTAAAGGGAATCGAAAATGCGATCGCTTCGGGTCGGGCGGAATTCACGCGTTCCCGCGAGCGCAAAAATCCGGCTAGTTAAAGCGGCCAGATACCGTATAATTGAAACTGTCCGCTATCCCCTTTGTGCGTTCAATCTCTCGTTCCCTTGTTCCTTTTTTTTTCCATTCGACGGCGGTATTATTTCTCGCGGTGGGGTGTTTCTAATCGGCCTCGAAAACGTTTCGTCCGTCGCCTGCCGGAAATGTTTGCAGAATGCGGCACGACGGTCCGTGTCTTCGTTCGTGGGAGTGCCGAGATGACGGGAATGAATAAATCAACAACCGACGGTACAAAGTCGAGGTGCACACCGGTCGAGGTGGCAATTACGCTTTCAGACAACGGATCATTGAATCCTCGAGCGCGCGGAGAAGGCCGGCGGACGTCGAAAATGAAATTTCATCGGCGGGGGACGGCGTCCGTGGCGGAAAATAAAATAGATACGTGCCGGAGCCGTGAACCGCGGCGCGGGGGGACAAAAAGGTGCGAGCGAAGCGTTTAAATTTCCGTGACCGGAAACGCGACGGCCGGATTAGCCCGCGATCCCCGAAGCTCGCGTCTAACAATGTCGCGTCGAAGCGGGAGACGATTAAAAATTACCACGCCGCGATAATTACGCGACTCCGAGTTATTCCCGACCGGCCCTAATGACAATGGACCCCGGTACCCTTTACGCGATATGATTACGCGTTCTTACGCGGGAATGACAACACGACGAACGGGACGCTAACGAGTTTCGAGACGTGTACTTAGCGTGATACGTAGGTGCTCCATCACTTCCACAAACGCGACGGAAATTCCGGTTAGAGATGACCTTAATTACAAATTAGAAAGAACGTTCGGGAACGAACGCGCGCGCGGCTATGTCCGCCGCGCGAATCACCGCCGCTTCCTGTTCTGCCCGCCGCAATGCGCGGGAGCAGGGGAGCTCGATGACGCATGCATAATTAGCCTCGCGACGATTCGAACACGTTTCTCGTCGTCGTGCGGCTGCCGCGGAGGATCGGATGGCCGGACCGGCGGAAAATATTGCTCGCCGGGCGGAATGCGGCGCCGGGGTAGGGAAAGCGCACGAAAAATATTTAAATGGAATCGACGCCGCGCGTTTCCGCGAATACTGGCGGCCGGGTGGAGCGGAATCGCGAATAGCCGTCCCGTGAAACGACAAACATACGAGGAATCAAGGTGGCCCCAGAGCTATTTCTCTGCAACTTTTCCAGAAGGATAGCCTCGTTCCCTTTGGTGTTCCGGCTCGCATGAAACGTCGGAGACGGTCGCTTCATGACCGAGAAACACTCGAGAGTCTATAGGAGCGTGATGTAACGTCCTCCCTTCCCCGATCGAAGAATCCAATAACTGGAAAACGCACCGGAGCGTGTAGAGGTGCCTTCGATTCCCGAAGACCTACTCGAGGGAGACGACGAGGACGAGGACGATCGTGGGTGTACGTCGATTCGCGACGAATCTCGGGGACGAGTTGCGCGCCCGCCTTTCTCCATCGGCGGATATCGTGTCCCCGCGACCGGCAGGAGAAAAAGGGATATAAGCCGCGCCGGAAAACGACCGTCCCTTGAATAGGATCCGTTATAGCGGTACCGAAATGAAAAATAGCCATCGTCCTCTCGCCCTCGTCTACTCTTCCCCCTCTTCGCTCATGCTTTTTTTATTCACTCATCTTCCTCTCTCTCTGCGTTCGTTTTCTACTCACCGGCACAGGAAGTCCCTCTCGCCTAAACAGAGCTCGAGACAGTGCTGCCGCGAGGAAGCGGTCATCGTTCTGCGCGTGTGCCCCTGCAACCGATGCCCCTGCACCCTGTCGATGCACCAAGCACGCTCGCACGGCTTCACCGCCAAACAGCTCTTCTGGGCGTAGATCGTGAACACTGGAAACTGCGATTGGGACAGCGCGCCTGAAACGGAAAACGACAGTCGCAGGTTAACACACGGCGAACTTTCCTGGAAATCGCGCGCCGAACCCGTCGCCGACATTAATGTTCCGGCCAACGTTTAACCGGAGGACTCTAGCGAAACGACGCGTTCCTCGTTAGTCTCTGTTTGGAGAATATTTGGGGGATGTATGAGACGAGTTAGGCATTTTGATTCGATAGCTATAAAAATTGTAACAGTAGATTATTTTCAGTTTCTCCAGATTTTCATTATAGTACTCAAATGAAACCATTTTCGAAATCATTTCGAATATTCAATTCGAAGATATCAATAATTGCTAAACAAAAAGATGAAACCAGTCATTTCGACTGGTACGGTAGTTCTATTGTTACCCTTGATTCAAACTTTTCTACACGATCGCTAGTTTCTGCAAAACTTCTATATCATCGGTCCGTCCGTCGAAGGTCTTCGAAATCATCTTTGACCCGGGATCGTTCCGCTGAACGTCGGACGCGTCCCGTTAACCGATCTCTCCCCGAACGTCGCTTTAAATCGACGCGAGGAACGTCGGGGCGACGCGACGGGACGCTGATCAATGCTCGCTATTCTCTCGGCGAGCGAAAGCGTATCCCGAGCAGCTCGTTATTCTTGCCCTGTCGATCCGGCCCGCTAAGTGGCGGAATAATTTCCCCGCCCTGGTGTCGTTGCCGCGTCATCTCCCTTCACGAAATCATAATTAATCTCGACGCCGCGGGGTGGGACGTGATTCCGATCGTGACCCGTTGGAAAAGTTCCCCGACCGATCGCGCTGAAGTTGTAACGAGGTTCGCCGAGCGATCCCGCCGCGAAGGCGTTAAAGACATTCAATTACCGCGGCCAGCTTTCACGTGCTAATGCCTGTATCTAATTTTAACGACCGAAAGCTGCGACCGCGGAACGCGCGGAACGGACGCGGCGCGTCCCCCCCTCCTCTTCCTCCCGCCGTTCGCCGGTGGAATTTTTACGCGGGACAGCGGCAGTCGGTAGGAAAGATGGTTCCCTCGTTACGGACCGAGGGGTAGGCGCATTACAGTAATCAGCGGCCACTTCCGGGGGCCTACATGTAGAAAACAAGTACCACTTACTCGTTATAATGCTACCGCATTACAAGATAATGGAGCGTAGATCGTAAGCACTTCGCGGCTACGAATAGAATTTTATCGGGGAGCGAGCAGCTTCCTCTGATTCTCGCATTATCTACCACAGCGTTGTTCGCCTGTTATTAGATCCAGCACGCGCGCCGATCATTTCGCCAAGGATGTCGGCGTTAACGAAATTCGGTTCGCCGGCTTCAACGTTTCAGTTTCCTCTTTCTTTTCAACGCTCGAGTGAAATGTCGCGTCCGTGCACGGTTCAACGGTGGAAGCTTCGAAAATTTCAAGGTACCATTTCCAACCGATTCCTCGAGGTTTCGGGGGCTCGAATCCTGTTCCGATCAGATAACGACGTCGTATTCTGTGCGGCGTAGCCCCGCCTCGCGTCTCCTATTTAGCGAGCTCGTAGCAAACGTGGTCCATTAACGGCAAGTGAGATAGAGTACTAGCCAGAGGACCGTTAAACTGTTCCCCATAATTTAGAGATACCGAACGACGCGCGTGTGTGCGTAAATGACCAATCAAACGCGCATTTTTTCATTCCTCGCGTTACTGCTAATAGATATCGATTACACGCGATGTCGGAGCTGTGTTAATTTAACGCGTTTTGCAACCTTACCGGTCAGATCCGAAATCTAGTGTATCTCGATGAAAATGAAATTTTAAGTCACTGCGTCACGTTCGTCCGGTGACCGTGAATCGTATGTTAATTTAACTGTACACTGTGTGCGCGCATTCATTCAGACTGGGATCGAATAATTTTCAATAAACGTCAGTTTAACTGAATATTCCCTCGTGATCACGCTCGAGTACATAAGAATTCGTAATAATAATTCAGGGCAATGTGACAGGACACTTTTTCGAGAACGATTCAATATGAGACGAAAAACGTTAATCTCCGGTTGTCCCGCGAAAAAAGGAGAAGATTACGGAGAATGATGAATCACGACAGGAGGAGGGAGCCTTTAACAGGCACAGCGACAAGGGTATTTCCGATTGTGTCATTTAGAGGATTCCTCACGCGTAAATCTCGATTGTGGGTCGTGACGGGCGGTAATCAGAAAGCCGTGCGATTATTATTGCGATCGCTGTCACGTGTAACTTACGGATCAACTTAAGCGACTACCGCGAAAATCATTCAGACAAGCAATTACCGGCTGAATCGATCCTGCAGCTCCAGGCAACAGGACGTATCTGTTACATCCTGCGGAAGGAAGCGTGATACATAGGACACGGGTATCGACCGCTGTTATCATTTCATGTTTTTTACCCTTCGTTTAACGAGCTCTCCTCTGCGTCGCTCGTTTCGCCGTGAAAAATATCGCCGTTGCGCGCCGAACAACGCGTGCTGCCGCTCGAATACCGGACCGGCCGAATGCGTGTCAAATTCACCGAAGGGAAAATCCTCGGCGGTTCCATTGACAAAGCGGTTTCGATGCGCGGCTAATTTTCTGCTTTGCGTCTCTACGTTCGCGTTTTTCACCGAGGAATTTCTCGGAAATTAATATAACGTTACTTCGATTTTCCGATGCATGGCTTTCCTTTGGAAGGATTTGTTATGTTTACTTTATTTTATTCTTCGATGTGTTCGGTTGCATTTGTACAAATGAAGATGATTAACGCGAAAGTTTCGTAAAATCGAAACAATTTATTCTTTTGATGCACGGCTAATTTTCTGCTTTGCGTCTCTCCGTTCACGTTTTTCACCGAGGAGTTTCTCGGAAATTAATATATTCGATCTGTAATGTTTACTTTATTTTATTCTTTGATGTGTTCGCTTACATTTGTACAAATGAAAATGATTAACGCGAAAATTTTGTAAAATCAAAACAATTTATTCTTCCGATACACTTGTACCTCGTACAGTAGATCCAAAAAAATTTTACTTCGCTTGACATACCACAATATTTCCAAAAAAACTCCAATACTTCTTATCTATTGGCCCGATAAACCATACTGTGATCGCTGTTCGTTCATAAAAATGCTGGCATCGTATTACATTGACTAATCCACGGTACCGAGGCACACATTCTTCGTTTTATCGAAGCGGCCGGAGAAGTGACGGTAAAATGAAATAAATTACCGCACTTCTATCAGCAAGCACGTCGCGTTCCACAGTCTAGACTCTGACTCCGGAGTATCCCGTAACGCGTCGCGGCGGATTGTCGTCCGAGAAATCGCGGAGCTTATCAATGAAAGGCCGTGTGTACCGATTGTGGCACGTGCGCGAGATAAACCGGCGGAATCGGGCCGAAACTGTCAATCCGCGGATGCGCGTTATCCTGGCTCGATTCCAGGCCTCCGTTCCTTTTCCGTTTTTGTTTCTCGATCCGGCCGCGTATGTAGATCACGGGCAAGATTGCGGCCGCTCGTAAATCTTTTAATTTCTGCCCGCGTCGCGGCGGAGCGCCGCTACGCGTGAATGTTAAACCTTCGTTCCGAGGGATTCTTCGTCTTTCACTGTGGCGCTCGCGCCAACGTTATGCGACTCGATTACAGTTTATTCCTACGCTCGATCAATGAACGAATGAATTAATTTAACACGTTCAGCGCCGGCGACTTAACCCGCGGACGAAGATTCTTCGAAATGTACGAAACCTTCAACAGACGAAGCTAAATTATCTACCATGTTGTTCATTACCCACGGATCAAAGCAAACAACTATATTGCTATTATCAATGTATTATCTTCAAATGAAATTTCCACCTCAAGTAGAATGCAAAATTTTGTTGTACTTACAAATTGTCGATAGTAAAATATTACACGAGCTTAGTAACGAAAGTAAATAGTACGTCAATGTGTTAAGAATATCTCAGCAATGATTACATTTATCTAAGTACAGTATCATCTCGATATCGCGAATAATCGATTAGAATCAAGTCGAATCGAACTAAACGTCGAATCTACCTCATAGATGCAGCACTCAGTACGCTGGCTACCAGAATTCTCGAATCCTGCGCAGCCTCGTTTTCGGCGTTGTCATTTCCCAGCCGGTTATCGTCACCGTGTCAGAGTGAGCTGTCCGCAAAAATGCTGGCCGAGCCACGGTAGACGCGCCTTTGTACTTAAGGGGAACGGGAATAGCTCCGTATCGCCGTAAATCTGGCGTGATTTATCAGCCGGTGCATCGTTTCACCGGCACGGTACATCATTTCATACTAAAACACGGGATTCCCCCTCGAGGAAGTTACGGAAAGGGGAACACTTCCACGTGTAGGTTGTCACGACGGACCGAGGGAAATGTGGAACGGCCTGGGCGCATCTGCGGCGGCGGTATTACGGGCGCGCGGCGCGGCGCGGCGCGGCGTTGCGACCGCACAAAATGATGCAAGTGAACCGCCTTGTGTGTACCAGTACCGCGGAACAGTTCGATTTCTGATATACGAGGCACATTTAGATACGATTCAGCCTCAAGTGGCATTGGCAACGTACCACGGCCCGCTGTCCCGGCGACGAAGGAGTCGCCGGTGAACTTGATGTATAATCTCGGTTTTCTTTATCTCCTATATC